AGAGCAGCCAATAGGCGCGCGAGCTGCCTTGCCTAGGTCTCTTCACTGCAGCAAATGCGTTTTAAATTAATGCAAATTATAAGGATAATTTTTGGCTTCAGTATTCTCGAGAAAAGAGGTTTTCCCGTAGCGTAAGCTTACGCAACATAAAAGTACTCTCGTAAGAGAACTGCACGCCATTTGGCAAAGGCTGCAATTACTTTATGCGCAAATGCTGCTCCATCTGAAAGCCAGAGGGCGCTCTCATGCAGAAACTCCAAATATGACCCGCAGAAGTAGACAACACACGTCATTCCAGGAAATCCCTGTGGGTTCATACTATCGCTGTAGCTGAATAAACAGAAGATTGAAGATTGACTTCACTCCTCGGGGAGTGAAGATTGATTGCTTTGATTAAACATGACTAATAAACACACGACTACCTTATTCTGTGTAAGAAGCCACAGAAGGATGCTCAACTGTCATTATTAAGTGAGTTTGGAGTGAAAGCATGTTATTAAATGTTGTCTTTTGTTAGACAAGCGGTTTATAAATGCATCTCATCTTTGTAAAGATGTTTGACGCATGTTGCTTTTTCAAATGCACGTTATAAGTGACTCGAACTTGCAGTGCTTTCAGATGGAGCAGTGTTTACAGAGCCGTTAATCAATGACAAGCTGCGCATAAAAAATAGTCACACAGCCTTTGTGATTTCATAATCGTGTAAGCCAACTCGATTTAAGCGCGATTTCATGTTAATTGTGATTAATCGTGCAGCCCTACACCAAGTTGCAGATGGGCTTTAGTGGGCCGCAACCTATCCCGAAGGGTCCTGACTCTCATTTCTCCACAGAAAGAACAGTCAGGCCTGTTCAGGCCAGCTTTTGCATGGGCCCTGCCCAAGGGAGGAAGAAGAAAGTTTGAGACAATGGTGTTGAGCGCCGAGCTATATAGCCCAGCTCATGCAGCCAAACGACATTTAAAAAATATCGCACTGGCGCACCCACGGCTGGAATGCGTCCAACTTGGCCGTGCTATAGCGGATGTTGTGCGAGGGATTGTATCGTGCCAGAATGCTTGATATCGTCAGAGACTGTAATTTACGATGCGCTCAATGTGTTTTGTAAAAAGAGTTGAGTAACATTTGCTTAAAGGAACACTCCGAGTTTTTGGGACTTTAGCCTATTCACCTTATCCCCCAGAGTTAGATAAGTCCATACATACCTTTTTCATCTCCGTGCGTGCTATAAGTCTGTTTGACGCACCCGCCGCTAGCCTAGCTTAGCACAAAGACTGGATGTAAATGGTTGCAGCTAGCATACTAATCCAAACAAGTGACAAAATAACGCAAACATTTTCCTATTTACATGTTGTGATTTGTATAGTCTCAGAGTGTACAAAAAACAAAGTCACATGAGACACAGACATATTTTAACCGTATAAATACTGGGAACTATATTCTCTGAAGGCGAAGCACTGCTACTTGGGCGGAGTGATAACCGCAGCACATGAGACGCGCCGTGGTGAGGAGCAGAGAGCGCGTCTCAGGTTCTGCGGTTATCACTCCGCCCAAGTAGCAGTGCTTCGCCTTCAGAGAATATAGTTTTTTGTACACTCTGAGACTATACAAATCACAACATGTAAATAGGAAAATGTTTGCGTTATTTTGTCACTTATTTGGATTAGTATGCTAGCTGCAACCATTTACATCCAGTCTTTGTGCTAAGCTAGGCTAGCGGTGGGTGCGTCAAACAGACTTATAGCACGCACGGAGATGAAAAAGGTATGTATGGACTTATCTAACTCTGGGGGATAAGGTGAATAGGCTAAAGTCCCAAAAAGTCGGAGTGTTCCTTTAAGACATTTGTGCCCTATAGCATTCTGTCATTCTTTGGTGACTCACGATGTTGTTGAAGAGAGTTAACAGTCATACAGCGATAAATAGCTTGGTGTAGGGGGTGATTTCGGAACTTTGTATGGTCTTGTTTTATGCACTTAAAAAAAAGCCATTTTATAGATGCGTCGTCAGATTTGTGATTAACCGCGGTGCAAGTGCGAACCGAACCTTGGGTGGTGAACGGTACGGTTCTATTTTTTATCGAGAACCGTTACACCCCTAGTAGATATAAGAAGCGTTCACAGAACTAGATAAAAATAAATGCTATTCTTTTGAACTTTGTTCATCGAAGAATCTTTAAATTATATTACGGGTTCCTACAAAATTGAGTAGCACTACAGTTTTTAACATTTGATAATAAATGTTTCTGGTGAACCAAATCAGCGTATTAGAATGTTTTCTGAAGGATCATGTCACACTGAAGTAATTTCTACTTAAAAGTCAGCTTTTCCATCAGAGGAAAAAATGACATTTTAAAATGTATTAAAATAGAAAACCGTTATTTTAAACTATAATAAGATTTCACAATAATATTGTTTTACTGCATGTTCAATTAAATAAATGCAGCCTTGGTTATCATAAGAGACTAAAACAAATACAATTAATCGAAAACATAAACAAATCTTACCAACCCCCAAATCTTTAACATCAGTGTATAATTTAAAAATGTCTAAATAAAAGGTACAATAAAATCAAATATTAATAAAATATATGAATTAATATTTAAATATGTATAGGAAGCATCTTAAAATACCAAGTATAATGTAAATATTTGACATGCATCCCCAAGCCCTAATACTTACACATAATCTAACCTGCATTTCTTGCAAAAACATCATGCATTCTTGTACCGCGTACATAGGGCAATTGGTGTGTTTCATCCTGTTATGGTATTCCCAAAACAACATTCTCCTAAATTCAGCCAATGAATTCAGTAAATTATGATTATTTAATTGGTACTGATTTTTCAATTTGGCTTTTTGACATTTTAAAATTTGCGGTTTGAACTGGATTGCTGTTTCTCAATAAAATCTTTCTATGCATCTTATGCAGTATGGATCTTTTCCACAATGTTCAGAATACAAACTGCTTTAACTTTCCCCCATGCCTTTTTTTTTTTTTTTTGCACTCCATTGAAACGATGGAAATATAATTCAATCATTCTCGACTTTCCACAGGCACATCTCTCCTAGTAGCTTTGAGAGTGAATAGTAATGCATATATTCATGTTCAGCCGTGGGTGAGCCTGCCCAGCGTTGAATTCATGGTTAAACCCTGCTAGAGTCGCACCATTTCACTGCTGTTCCCTGCTGTGCTCTGCAGCAGCTCCAGCGCTGCTTTTCATTCATTATTTTTGAATAGCGTGAGGGTACGGTATCTTAGGGTGCCGTTGCACCATCCGGCAGAGCTTGAAGTCACAGTCGCACATCAGAAGTTCGGAACTAGCTGCTGCTTGAAATGTGACATCCTTTTTTTGGAAACTGTGGTCCAGCTCAATTATATGCATTTGAAGTTGAACACTTAATCGTTTTCTGTTAATGAGAGTGATGCATTGAAGATGTTAAAAATGTATTTCAGTATAAATTACAAATTACTGATTAAAAATATAATTATAATCACTGTATGAAAGTTACTGGATTTACTCACAAGACACTTTTGTGTTAATGTTGTGACTGTAACTACTGTCTTTTCGTTTTCTCTTTTATTTTAATATACAAACGTGTAGACCTTTTTTTATTGAATTCATTACCCTGTAATGGTAATATCACAGGGTATATGTATGTAATTATACATATATTAGAATATATTAGAGCCCAGAATACCATAATACTTTAGGTCTTCATTCATCCCTCCTATAAAAGTCAAAGGTCTCAAATTGGATCTATTAATGTATCAGCTCAAATGCCCTCTTGTGGCCTCCTGTGACTATTGCATGTGCTTACTGAATAGTGACAACTTCTGCATCTACAGATAATTAAATTGAATTGTTGTAAATTGTATTAATTTACACCAGTTTAACCATCATTACAGATTTGCTGATTTGCTGATTTGGTTTAGGAATATATTTTTGGGCAAAAAAGGTCGAAAGTTATTTTATAACTTCACTTGAGGTTTGAAGGAATAAACACGTAATCTAAAATTGATTATTTATTTTAATGTATCTGCTGCTATGACTCAGCAAGTTTATGTTTCCACAGTAAAATAGTCCAAATTCATTCCTGTTTTGATCAGATATCCACTACTGCTCAAAAGTTTGTGGTCAGAATTTTTTTAAAGAAAGGACGCATTAAACTTATCAAAAGAGACAGTAAAATACTTTATAAAATGCTACAAAAGATTACTATTTCAACTAAATATTGTTCTTTTTAACTTTCTATTCATCAAAATATCCTGGAAAATAATGTACCATTTCCACAAAAATATTAAGCAGCACAACTGTAGTAAATAGTACATTTCCTGAGCACCAAATCAGCATATTAGAATTATTTCTGAAAGTGCATGTAACACTGGAGTAAAAGCTGCTTAAGTTTAATCAGATTTGCCATCACTGGAATATATATATATATATATATTTATATATATATATATATATATATATATATATATTCAAATAGTTATTTTAAATTGTAATCATGTCTCACAATTTTTTTCTGACACTTTTTTTCTGTAATTTTGATCAAATAAATGCAGCCTTGTTGAGCATAAGCGACATCTTTCAGGAACCCCAACTTTACCTTACTGACATCAAACCTTTGAATGTGTATTCAGAACTAATCCAAATGTTTGTGTTGTCACATAGGGCTGCGTGAATGGTAGAGGTTAAATATTCATGTTTTCTTTAGAACTGAATGGATCTGGAGAGATTGAAAACTGGGTCACCACTAGCACCACTGGGGGTTACTGTTGAAATCTGGGACACCTGTTAGCATCCACTGACGATGAATGACTAAGCAAAGACTGCTCATAATTGGCTGTCATGGTGCCCAAGGGGCACATCCAACAGGGACAGAAGAAATGATTTTAACATTAAAAACACATTACCATTAAGCATGAAATGTTTCTTTACATTTTTTTTATTCTGTCGTGGAAATTAACGTTGTTCTTTCTTTGTGCTTTCTTACAGAAAGAGCTCAGCCTTCCCAGACGAGGAAGTGTGTGAGTAAACCTACTTTGATTGTCTTTAATTTAATAGTCACCCAATACACAAGAGAGTTTAGATATAAACCTACATCAACAGCAAAACATTTCAAGATTTGCATCCTCTACAGACCGTAGTCAGGGTAGACACACTTTTAAACAGTGAACCAGATTTTATTATTATAAGAATAAATGCATCTCATTCTTTTGGCCATATTAGTTTCTTCTTCTTTTTGCTGTTTATTTTCCTGCCTTGAAGACTTTGAGAGACGAAATTTAAAAAGTGCCTAGTTAGCTAAATTTCAGTTTTATGTAAATCACCCTCCCAATTACTTCCCATGTCGAGGTTCTATATGCAAGTTGATGAGTAAACAATTTTTCTGTTGTCTTCATCCACATAAGAAAGATTAGCTTTTTTTAAAGCATGGCTTGCATTAATATGTATATGTATGTATGTATGGATTTATTTATTTATTTAAATATTTATTTTTGGACTTGCTCATTTGCATATAAATAATGTGAAATAAAACCTTGTTTAGAAATCATGCAGTTGTTACCTGGCGGTTAATGCTATAACGTTATGCACCCAACAATACCCAGGTTTGAATCCTCCTCTTTTGTGTTCTGTTACTGATCTACTGTCTTTTTATGAAAGGAATAGTTCACCCAAAAATAAAAATGTCCTGATTATTTACTCACCCCAAGGCAAGATATATATGACTTTCTTTCCTCATCCAAAGAGAAAATTAAGGTTGTAGAGGAGACAATTCCAGGATTTTCCAATGTAGACCATTTTTGACGGTCCAAAATCCATATTTAGACAGCTTCAAAGGGCTCCACATGACCCCAGTCGACAAATAAGACTCTTCTTTAGCGAAAGATCAGTCATTTTCAGAATAAAATAAAAAATATATATTTTCTTAACTACAAATGCTTGCCTTGGTTCAGCTTTGTGAAGTGCGTTCAAAAGATGTTAGATGGAGAGAGAATGCTTTCTTCCAAAACCTTAATTTCTCTTCAGCTGAGCAAAGAAAGTCATATACGTCTTGCAGGACCTGGGGTGAGTAAATATTTAGGACATTTTCCTTTCTGAGTGAACTATTTCTTTAAAGGCAAAAAGATAATTTGTAATAATGATTAAAATGATTGAATGCATGCCAAAACTTCTAGATGTTGGATAATGGCATACCTGCAGATACCAATGAGTTTTGTTTGAGTTCAAGGCTTCCAGGCAATCTCTTGCATAGACCATCACACAGCTTTCTTCCATTTCACCTAGTCTTGAAATTGGACGGTGACCAGAATTTTTAAAAGTTAAATCTTTAACTGTCATCTGCATCTGGCCCTCAAAAAATGGTCATCTATATGTCATTTACTCATGTCATTCTAGAGCTTATGATTAGTTTCTTCTTATTTGGAACAGAAAAGAAGATATTCTGATGTCAATAGAATATTTTGTTCATGTAATAAAAGTCAGTGGGATCCATTGTTGTTTTAGACTTTCATTGAATTGACAAAAAAACATTTAAAAAAAAATCTACATTGTTCCACAGAAGAAATAAAGTCATACAGTTTTGGAATGACTCAAAGGCAAAATTGACTCAAAATTTTTCATTTTTGAAGGGTTTTATATTGTGTTCTAAAGCCTTGTTTACTCAAGTCTCTTTATAGAATGTATTCTCATCCCTTACATTGATTAATGAAACCTTCACTTCCTGTGGATGATGCCTGGCTTAGATTTTATCTGGGAATTGATCCATCAATAAGTGTTGTAACAAACTGTTATGATCTGAGGAAGTCTTGGGTAACAGAACAAACCTTTATTACTGACAGTTCACAAATAAATCTACATCCCAGCCATTGTTTTGGAGTTTCAAACACAAGAAGTTTTATAATAATGTAAGATTGTAATAATTATGTGTTTATAGTAATTATAAGATTGAATCTCCGCCATTTATTACCTGCCTACTGTCCATCATTTAGCTGTTCACATGGGTTTAACTGTTAAATTAAAAACATTTATAATAATTTCAAAGCTCCTACATATTATTTTAAAAAAAATCTGTATTTGTCAGCATTTTCTAGATAATCAAATTTGTCTGTGATGTTTCTACTAAACTTTCTTAGAACTTTTTTTTGGAGAAACAAAAATATCTAAACGTAAAAAAATAGAAATTGGATTAACACAAATGTGATAGATTATTTGAGCATTTGATTGAGGCTTTGGTATATGAGCAGCTTGGGAAATCGTTGCAATGTCTTTTGAAACTTTTGAGGTGGTACATGTGAGATAACTACGGAGCCCCCCTAGTCCCACTTTGTAAAAAAAAAATTATTATAACTATCTCGTGGCCTCAAGATAAGTAACTCGTGGCCTCAAGATACTATCTCGTGGCCTCAAGATACTATCTCGTGGCCTCAAGATAGTAACTCGTGGCCTCAAGATAGTAACTCGTGGCCTCAAGATAGTAACTCGTGGGCTCAAGATAGTAACTCGTGGCCTCAAGATAGTAACTCGTGGCCTCAAGATAAGTAACTCGTGGCCTCAAGATAGTATCTTGTGGCCTCAAGATAGTAACTCGTGGCCTCAAGATAGTAACTCGTGGGCTCAAGATAGTAACTCGTGGCCTCAAGATAGTAACTCGTGGCCTCAAGATAAGTAACTCGTGGCCTCAAGATAGTATCTCGTGGCCTCAAGATAAGTAACTCGTGGCCTCAAGATAGTATCTCGTGGCCTCAAGATAAGTAACTCGTGGCCTCAAGATAGTAACTCGTGGCCTCAAGATAGTATCTCGTGGCCTCAAGATAAGTAACTCGTGGCCTCAAGATAGTAACTCGTGGCCTCAAGATAGTAACTCGTGGCCTCAAGATAGTAACTCGTGGCCTCAAGATAGTAACTCGTGGCCTCAAGATAGTATCTCGTGGCCTCAAGATAGTAACTCGTGGCCTCAAGATACTATCTCGTGGCCTCAAGATACTTATCTTGAGACCACGAGATCTCGTGGCCTCAAGATAGAGATACTATCTTGAGGCCACGAGTTACTATCTTGAGGCCACGAGATACTATCTTGAGGCCACGAGTTACTTATCTTGAGGCCACGAGATAGTTATAATTTTTTTTTTTGACAAAGTGGGACTAGGGGGGCTCCGTAGATAACTGGGATCTTTATGAAAATCTTTTTTGGGTCCCACTTTATATTAAGTGGCCCTAATACCTGTGAACTTACATGGTACCTAGATATGTACTTAGTATGTAACTACAGTGTAAATACACATTGGTACATAGTATTTACAACTGTAATATTTGTGTAACTACACATATGTAACAACCCACGGAAAGGTATGTGTAAGTACAAATGTGTAACAGGACATTGGTAACAACACTTTTTCCACTAAAGTAAGTACACATGTGTAACAGGCATTATGTAACTACATTTTGTAACAACAATATGTATTCACACAAGTTGTTCCACTTCCACAAGCAGTCTTCCATACTGTAGTTACCAGTTAAGAACACACTGAAACCATGATGATTCCAATGTGTATACCATGTATTTACTATATGACCGGCAGGACTTATGTTGAATTACAGCTAAAGTTTTCCCTTGTGGTACCAGTGTACATACATGGTCACTCCTCAGGCAACATCTTGATACAATGTGTTAAACTGTCATAACTTACTGTGTATTATGCAAAACCCAAACCTCTGTGCAACTGTACTAACAGTGTACTAACATGGTAACTCCTCAAGAACTGTCCACTTAATATAAAGTGTAAAATGGTCATAACTTACTGTGTATTATGCAAAACCCAAACCTCTGTGCAACTGTACTAACAGTGTACTTACATGGTAACTCCTCAGGAACTGTCCACTTAATATAAAGTGTAAAATGGTCATAACTTACTGTGTATTATGCAAAACCCAAACCTCTGTGCAACTGTACTAACAGTGTACTAACATGGTAACTCCTCAGGAACTGTCCACTTAATATAAAGTGTAAAATGGTCATTACTTACTGTGTATTATGCAAAACCCAAACCTCTGTGCAACTGTACTAACAGTGTACTAACATGGTAACTCCTCAGGAACTGTCCACTTAATATAAAGTGTAAAACGGTCATAACTTACTGTGTTTTATGCAAAACCCAAACCTCTGTGCAACACTGTATTAACAGTGTATTTACATGGTAACTCCTCAGGAACTGTCCACTTAATTTAAAGTGTAAAACTGTCATAACAGAGACCATCTCAGCAAACCCAAACCTCTCATAGTTTTAATAGCATTAAACTATATTTTGAGCCACTAATCCTACTCATACCCCTAAACCTACCCATAACCATTCCTTAAAACTACGTAGGCTAACGTTACACTTATGAAGAAAATAAAAACATAACAGACAGACAAGTAACGTTATAAATTTCACAATAATTTGTTTATTGCGAAAATGTAAACAAACCGGTACCAAAAGTCGTTCACATGATGATGCGTTGCAGCCGCAGTCCTCTCTGGCAGTATTATAATAGTTGTGTATGAGGTACAGATCAGAGTATAAATTATTAATCCATGAAAATGTTAATCCGGTTTTGGTTCGCTCTGTGAAGGCAATGGTGAAGGCGCGCGCGCTTCTCCATTTCAAATGTACTACTACACCGACTGAAACACGGCATGTCGCAATCTGTGACGAAGCAGGCGAGAGCCAATGAGCGTTTGACATCACAGCCGTAAAACATGTCGTAACGCTTCTTGAAGGCGCATTTTTTTTATTTGAATTCATCACCAGCGCGCCTGAGCGCGGGATTTGACGTTTGCGGTCGCTGCTGAGAAATGGAGTTGATTCAAGATCATAAAGGGCTGAATTTGGATCTGTTTCTTGCAAACAACGTATGGATTCTAAAGATTTGGATTACATCAGGCTAATACAATTTATGTTTTTTGTGAATTTATGTTGTGTTTTATTGGAGAAAACGCTTTTTGTGTCTCACGGTAAATGAACTAAATACTACAAAATGGTTAAAC